GAAGGTATTTATGCAGCAAAAAAACATGAAAGAAAGCTCAACATCACTGATCATTAGAGAAATGTGAAACAAAACCACAATGAGATACCATCTCATGCCAGTCAAAATGGTATTAATTAAAAAGTCAAGAAACAATAGACACTGGCAAGGCTGTGCAGAAAAAGGAATGTTTTTACACTGTTGGTGGGAAGGCAAATTAGTTCAACCATTGTGGAAGACAGTGTGGTGATTCCTCAAGGATCTGGAACCAGAAGTACCATTTGGCCCAATAAACCCATTACTGGGTATATACCCAAAGGAATAAAAATCATTCTACTATAAAGCCATATGCAAGCATATGTTTATTGTAGCATTATTTACAATAGCAAAGACATGATACCAATCCAAATGCCCATCAATGATAGACTGGATAAAGAAAATGTGGTACATATACACTGTGGAATACTATGCAACCATAAAAAGGAATGAAATCATGTCCTTCGTGGGAGCATGGATGAATTTGGAAGCCACCATTCTCAGCAAACTAACACAGCAACCAAAAACCAAACACCACATATTCTCACTCATAAGTGGGAGCTGAACAATGAGAACACATGAACACAGGGAGGGGAACAACACACACTGGAGCCAGTTGGGGAGTGGAGGATGAGGGGAGGGAGAGCATAAGGAGAAAGAGCTAATGCATGTGGGTCTTAAAACCTAGGTAACAGGTTGATAGGTGCAGCAAACCACCATGGTACATGTATACCTACGTAGCAAACCTATGCATTCTGTACTTGTATCCTGGAAATTAAAGTAAAATTATAAAAAAGAAAAGAAAATCAGTGAGTCTTTTCAACAAATGGTACTGGAATAACTGGACATCTACATGCAAAGAAACAAATCTGGACAAGACTTACACTTTACACAAAAATTAATTTAAAACAGGCCTAAATGTATAATGCAAAACTATACAACCCCTGGGAAATACCTTAGGAAAAAAATCAAGGTGACCTTGGGTTTAGTGATGACTTCTAGGTATAACATCAAAAGCATGATCCATGAGAGAACAAATTGTTAAGTTGAACTTCATTAAAATTAAAAATGTCTTCTCTGCAAAAGGCACTGTTAAGAGAATAAAAAGACAAACCACAGACAGAGATAATATTTGCAAAATACCTATCTGACAAGGAACTGATATCCAAGTTATACAAAGAACTCTTAAAACTCACAAGAAAAAAAAATAACAACCCAATTATACAATGGGCAAAGGTCTAAAGAGACACCTCAGCAAAAAAATACACAGATGACAAATAAGCATATGAAAAGATGTTCAGCATCATACATCATTAGAGAAATGCAAATTTAAACAAGAAACCACTAGACATGTATTAGAATGGCTAAAATACAAAACACTGATAACATCAAGTGCTGATGAGGATGTAGAGCAACCAGAACTCATTCATTGCTAGTGGAAATGCAAAACGGTAAGCCACTTTTGAAGACAGTTTGGCAGTTTCTTACAAACTAAGCATTGTCTTACCACACAATCCAGCAATCCTATTCCTTGGTATTTACTCGAATGAGTTGAAAACGTCCACACAAAAACCTGCATGAGAAAGTTTATAGCATCTTTATTTGTAATTGCCAAAACTTGAAAGCAACCAAGATATCCTTTAATACACATCTGTGCAATGGACTATTACTTAGTGATAAAAAGAAATGAGCTATCAAGCCACAAAAACACATGGAGGAAACTTACATGCATATCGCTAATTGAGAGAAGTCAATCTGAATGGCTGCCTTACTGTATGATTCCAATTTTATGACGTTCTAGAAAAGGCAAAACTATAGAGACAGTAAAAAGATCAGCGGTTGGTTGCCAGGGACTCAGAGGCAGGGAGGGACAAATATGTAGAGCACAGGTGATTTTTAGGGCAGTGAAACAATTCTATGTGATACAGTAATGGCGGATGCATGTCATGGTACATTTGCTAAAACCTATAGAACATACATCAAGAGAGAACATTAATGTAAACTCTGTAAATTTTAGTTAATAATGTATTAATATGCATCATCAATTGTAACAAATGTAACATGCTACTAAAAGATTTTAGGTCAGGTGCAGTGGCTCACGCCTGTAATCCCAGCACTTTCGGAGGCCGAGACTGGCAGACAACCTAAGATCAGGAGTTCGAGACCAGCCTGACCAACATGGTGAAACCCAGTCTCTACTAAAAATACAAAATTATCCAAGCATGGTGGTGCGTGCTTGTAATCCCAGCTACTCAGGAGGCTGAGGCAGGAGAATCACTTGAACATGGGAGGCAGAGGTTGCAGTGAGCCAAGATCATGCCATTGCTCTCCAGCCTGGGCAACAAGACACTGAAACTTTGTCTCAAAAAAAAAATATTTTAATAAGAATAGAAGAAATGAAGTGTGGGGTCAGGTAGTGTGGGGTTGATATGTGGGAACTTTCTGTACTTTCAACTCAATTATTTTATAACCTGAAGACTGCCCTTCAATTATGAAATCTATTTAAAAAATAATAAAGTTTTAAAATAATCAATGAGAATAAATTTTGAAGCAATATTCCCTCTATTTTATGTTTCACGTTTCAATAACAAATTTTTACAAAATGTACATGCCTAAATAGTCCACATCTAAAAGTTTATCCTGTAGATATGTGCACATATTGATCAAAGATTTATGTCAAAGATTATGTACTATTGTCAGTAGTAGCAAAGCCTGAAAACAACTAAATGTCCATTAACAAATAATTGGTTCAGTAAATTATGCTTTTTTACACACGAAATACTACAGAGCAGTTAAAAAGGGACAACCGTATTTGCAGAAGGTAAGTAAGCTCCATGGTAGGGAAGGTATTGCTGTTTTGTTGCTGTTCACTAATACGGCCTAAGTAACCAGAACTGTGCCTGGCATCAGGTAGATCCTCAGTAAGTATTTGTTGAATAGATTAATAGAGAATAATGGTTAAATTTTTTAAAAAAACAAAGTAAAAACAACATGCATATAGTTTGTTTGTCATGATAGGTTGAAACCTGAGGGCATACCTCTTGACCAAAGCTACCCCAGATGTAGACTCTGATTTTCCATGGAGCTAGGAGCAGGGATAAAGGAAGCACGGTTTTTTAAAATGAATTTGAACCACTTTCAACGAAACTACTCAAGCTTCTTAGTATGTGTAGACTCAGCCTTAGAGTAGGAATTTATTATAAAGGTTCAAATTCATAATATTTTATGGTGAATACCAAGACTTACAATAAAACTTAACAGTAACCAAGAGGCTGTGGGAATGATGTAAGGTTGGCCCTATGGAACGGAACAGAGAAACCAGAAAGAGATCCACACTTACATGGTTAATTGATTTTGACAAAGAGGCCAAAGTAATCCAATGGGGAAAGTCTTTTCAACAGATAAAAACAAACAAAAACAGAAACATTACTTCTATATGGGGGAAGAAAGAACCTCGATCTTCACCTCATACCATATACAAAAACCAATTATTTTTGAGTCAGAGTCTCACTCTGTCGCCCAGGTTGGAGTGCAGTGGTACGATCTCGGCTCACTGCAGCCTTGACTTCTTGGGTTCAAGTAATTCTCCCACCTCAGCATCCCAGGTAGCTGGGAGTAGAGGCACCCACCACCATACCTGGCTAATTTTTGTATTTTTAGTAGAAACAGGGTTTCGCCATGTTGGCCAGGCTGGTCTTGAACTCCTGATCTCAGGTGTTCCACTCGCCTCGGCCTCCCAAAATTCTGGGATTATAGGTGTGAGCCATAGGGCCAAGTTAAAAATTAATTTATTATCGATAATAGACCTAGTAAAAGTTAAAACTATAAAGTTTCTAGTTTAGAAGAAAACACAGGAGAATATTTTTGATGACACAGTATAGGCAAAAGTCTCTTAGGACACAGAAAGCAATCAACATAAAAGAAAAAAGTGGATAAATTAAACTTTAAGGCCATATGCAAGCACTTTGGGAAGCCAAGGTGGGCAGATCACGAGGTCAGGAGTTCGAGACCAGGCTGGCCAACATAGTGAAACCCCATCTCTACTAAAAATAAAAAAAATTAGCTGGGTGTGGTGGCAGGCACCTGTAATCCCAGCTACTCCAGAGGCTGAGGCAGGAGAATCGCTTGAACTTTGGAGGCAGAGGTTACAGTGAGATGAGATTGCGCCATTACATTCCAGCTCGGGCAACAATGCCAGACGCTGTCTCAAAAAAAAAAAAATTAAACTTTAAAATTAAAAATACATATTTTGAAGACATTGTTAAGAAAAGGAATAGGCTAGCCACAAAGTAGGAGAAAATATTCACAAAGCATGTATATTTGATAAAGGACTAGTGTCCAGAAGATATCAAAATTCCTATAACACAATAACAAAAGAGAAGAAAGGCAACCCAAAACAGGACACATGTAGAGAAATAAGGTCCAAGTGATGCTCAGTGTGATGAAACAACCAGATACCTGAGACAAGAATTAATCCAGTAATGCTATATGAAGCTCATACTTTGTCCAAACTCTGAATATATGAAAGAATCATTTAATATTTCAAGATAACATTAATTGGCATATAGATGTGCCCATTAAAAAGTAAATTTAACATAAAATTAATTATTTCTTTTTTTTTTATTTTGAGTCTTGCTCTGATGTCCAGGCTGGAGTGCAGTAGCCCGATCTCAGCTCACTGAAACCTCCGCCTCCTGGGTTCAAGTGATTCTTCTGCCTCCCAAGTAGCTAGAATTACAGGTGTATGCCATCACATCCAGCTAATTTTTTATATTTTTAGTAGAGAGGAGTTTCACAACGTTGGCCAGAATGGTCTCGATCTCTTGACCTCATGATCCACCTGCCTCAGGCTCCCAAAGAGCTGAGATTACAGGCATGAGCCACAGCGCCTTGCAAAATAAATATTTTTTTATCTATGAATCTCATTCTAATTAACTGTTAAGAAAGTTTGGTAATAATAACCACCAATAAAAAGCCACATTAAAAACTGTGTTAACATATAGTTTATTTTTATTTCATAACATTTTAAAAAATATAAGCCACCTAATATTTTGAAAAACATACACAGAACAATCATTTAGCTGCCACAATATTACAAAAATAAAATGACATAGAATAAATTGCACAAGAGAGCAAAATAATGTCTGCTGAGTCACTCTGACTAGGAACACATAATAGTCACTAGGAAGGTGAAGTGGAGCAGTATGGCCATTTCTTCATGACCAGTTATCACTAAAGTCAATCACAGAACCTATTCCCAGGAGACCATTCCATTCACTATACAGGAATATGTGCAATATATAGATGTCAGGTTAACACCTTGAATTTAATTCCAAATACCATTGTTTCTTTTCCTCTGGGAGACAAGTTCAGTGGCAAGGTAGAATAGTGAAGACCATGGGACATCAAGCCCATGACTGGCCCACACGTCTCCCAGCTGGTTCTACAACACAAGAAGGAGAATAAAGTGTACTGTGCTATCTAATATCATAGTCAGTAGCCCCATTTGGCTATTGGAATTTAAATTAATTACAATTAAACAAAATTTAAATTTTACTTCCTCAGTCACAATAGCCGCATTTCAAGTGTTCACTCACTACACGTGGCTAGTGGTTACCATATTGGACACTGCAGATATAGAACATCTCTGTCATCACAGAAAGTTCTTTTAGACAGCCCTGGATGTGGGAAGTGTTTCTTCTTTGCTTAGCTAGGATGTAGGCTGCTTATGGAAGCAGTTTTGAGAGGCAGTTCTTCTCCCAGGATATTCCTAGATCGGTGGTAGAGTCACAGAAGGGAGTAAGGTAGATTTTCTTTGCAAAGATTCCCCTCCTCCATGCATGAAAGTGATGGTCTTTTTATAGGAATCAAATACACAAACCCAGACTCCACCAAAATATAACTGACAGGAAAATTAGGGAGGAGAGAAATGATGCAGATGAGGGAACAGCACAGTAGAACATTATTTATCTTATACTAACCCTCCATTAAGAGGTTATGGTCACCAAGGAAGTGTGCAGGTACCCAGAGCCCTCTAGAAAATCCTGATGTGTGACAAGGATATTGGCTAAGAGAGAAGGTCAGTCCTGTCAAGTGTTTTGTGAGAAAACCGGATATGCCTTCACTCTGCTCACTCTTTCAGAGGGAAGCAGTGCTGCTTGGAGCTTTGCCAGTTGTGAAGAAACTACGTTTTGATATTTTTGAACTTTATGCTCCTCTGCAATTGTATTTTGTAACCAGGGCATAAACTGTTAGTTGTCTTCCCAAGATCCACCACCATCTTCTTCCTTATCAAGAGAAACTAAATTTTTGTGAAAGGCAGCTATATATCCAGCAACAAAACCTACATTTCTCAGACAATCTTGCAGATAGCAGTAGCCAATGACACAGTTCTGGCCAATGAGATGAAGGCAAAAGTTATTGGGGTGCTGAGGAATCTCTTTACAAGGAAGTGGATTTGAACTGGCATGGCTTGTTTTCTCTGTGGGCTCCCTCCTTTTTGTGGGGAGCTGCAGGGACCATCTTGGAACCTAGAGGAAAAAGCCAAGGGAACCTCGGCAGCCACCTTAATTAAGCCTGACACCCGTGAGCTGCTAAACCAACACCAGCAGCTGCCTGCCTCTAACCTCCTTGTTCTGTGAGAAAAGAACAAAGCCTCTAATTTGCTTAAGCCACTGTTCAGTCCAAAACTTCCTATTTGATTAACAAGATAACAATTCATCTTGATTCCCAAGAGGAAAGTGTGATTTTCATCTGAAAGGAAAAGACATCTTGCTTGAAGAATCTGTACCTATTCAATAAATTCAAGTAACTTCAGAGTCATACTAATAAAACAAGAGACACATATAAAGGTTTTAGCTCCAACCCACCCTTGTCTTCAGGATCTGTCTATACAGACCAAGAATGGCAGAAATGTTCAGGCTCATTATATAAAGTGGCTACTATTAAGGAAAATTAGGCAGTTTTTTTAAACTTAATCCATCAGAAAGCTTTTCTACATGCCTATTAGGTTCTGATTACTGGGTTTAAATGCCCTTCTGATAATCCAGCTTCCTATATGGGAAGATGCTCATGACTCAGACACTTAATCAGATCATTATTAATCCATAACATTATTTATTTTGTGTAGACAAAATAAAAAATGGAGGACTGAGAAATTTATTTCACTGATTCAAACAAGAAAATAACTACATCAAAGATTTACAACACAATTCTTAACCTTCCATTGTATAAGACACAGACACCTGACAGTGACATTCTAATGATCCTAAAGTTTTAATTGTGGATTTAGCTTAAATACGCACAAATACCTCAGAGCAGCTGTCAAAATTAAAAGCAAACTACAGCACAGTGTAGATACCTTATGTATTACATTAATATCTTCAGTATTCTAAAAGTCTCTAGATTAGTAAGTGTGACTTACAAAAAAAACAAGTATTTCCCACTACTCTAAATAGTTTAACCATTAACAATCTTTAACATTTTGGCCATTTAAAATTTAACTCTATTGTACTAATTTTGAAACTATAGACAATTTGGAATTAGGGAATGTCAAACTAAAAGTAGAGTATTTCATATTTTGTACTCACCTAGTTCCAAGCTTCCACCCCTGCAAGTGAACCAAAAACAAATCCTGGCACCTTGCCATTCCCAGAAAAGCCAGTGCATGGCACACTCTGGGTAAATTTTCTCTCTTATTCTGTAGAATCACACCAGATGGCATCAGTTCTGCATCTACAGCTGTGCCCTAAAATTGAAGTTCAGACATAGGAATCTACTTTATTAGACATTTTAGATTTTGCAGGTGTGAGTGTGATGTCATTCTCATTCAACTTAAAGTGGTTGTCTTGCCAAGTAGAACTGTAGATCCATTGCACTTATAAGTTCGGAAATCAGTGCAACAACCAAGATTGTCCTGATAAGATCTGAAGTCATTTTGAACAGCTGAAATTTAGAAACAATGATGAAATAATAACATTTGAAATAGAATACAAATATTACATAATAGAATTATGGTTCATTTCCTTATAATGTAAGAAATTCGGGTCAGCTTCTAACATTGCTGAAGAATCACTAAAAACCTTTTTATTGAAAATGAAACATAGGAATCTTCTATAATCAAGTTACACTTATATAATAAGAAGTTATTTTAAATATTCTTGACTTTTCAAGTGCTTTAATGTCTAGCTCATAGTTATACAGTCTTTAAAAACAAACATGGCACATAGCGATTGTCAGAACGGGGGTAGTCAGGGGATGGAGTAGCCAACATGTAGAAGCCTGGAACCTAGACCATTGTGGGTGTCAGAGTATTCGATCTAAGCCAAGAAGGCATAAAGGTAGCCAAAAATGTGAGTTTGAAAGTAGTTCTAATTTGGGAGATTGGACTCTGTCAGATCTTGGGGAAATGATGATTGAATAAATAAATAGCAAAAGATGGCTCATCTGCAGGTGTCAAAGTTTCAAAAGCAGAGTCTCCAACAAAGCAAGGGCAGACAGGAGATCAACAGCAGCGAGATCTAGCAGCAAATGTGAGTTACCTTAATTCCCAGAGCTTATAGTCAAGTTCCAAGCAGAGGTTGAGTAATAGGAATAAATATTCATTGTGGGCTAGATAAATGGGAATTTAGTCATTAATGAATTTGATTACAAGGAGGTTATAAAATGACATTGGACACAAGTTAGAAAGGCACCCCTCGTTTCTTAGGAACCTAAGTCAGTAGAACCAGCTGAGAGGCTGGATTAATACTGAGATGGCAGCAAACTACTCACCCTGACTTCTCGATAGTCTCCTGTCTAGGAGGAATCATGGGCAGGTTAAACTTCTGGATACCAGTGGTGCTGCTAGGAAGATTAAAGGATTGCAAACTCAAGAAGCCAAGCATGTGGTTAAAATAATTTGCATTCTGGTTATTCTAAAGTGTGAAATGATTGTTTTCAATCCTTACAAACAACTATAATTGCTAATTAATTACTCCCACACTCATCTTGAATGTCCATATTAACCATACAACCCTTTAACTAAATGTCCCTTACCAACCAATTAGAGAACCATTGTTCAAAGCACAATACAGAATCGCTGCAGTTGATTCGGGGAATTCAAACTGGAAATTCAAATCAAGTCTTACCATAACTCTGAAAAAGAGGTGAGAGTTTGTTCATACTATAATAACTAAAGTAAACCACTTATTTCATTAAGAACAGGTCTATTTGGGGAAAGTGAAATAGAAAATGTGGGAAATTATTGATGTCTTGGGCCAAAATGATTCACCTCAGACTGTTTTTCCTTTGAACCATTAAAATAATTGTCTTACACTTCACTTTTCTATTACCAACTTAGGGAAACTTTACTATTTTATGGTTTTTAACCTCTCTCCATGGTCTTTCTTTGTGTCTAAAATTAGTATTTTCAATACGGCAGTTATGACTTAGCTTATCCCACACTAACCTGACTAAACCCAAATCTTCCCTTACTGAAGATCATGTATATCTCCATCACATATTTCACCCCAAGAATCCTTGCACTGTCTTTCAAAACAGCAGAATGATTACTAAAATGGCAAACTCCCGACATCTCATTTAAATTTCCACAATCCTCTACTGAGACACTGATTCTTGCAATGAGTTAGGAGTCAGTTTGGCTTTGTGGTTCTGGTAGAAGCTCACCAGTTTTGAGTGGGAGAGAGTCCTTTCATTCCTTGTACCCACTTCCCCCATCCTGAACCTACACTTTTTTAGGCCCAGGATCTTTAGAAGTTTAGTCATAACTAAGGCCAACGTGAAACCATGTGTCATTCCCAACTTACCATTTGCAGAAAGCTTCCCTCTCCTGTTCCAGCCTTCTCTTGGTAGGCCCAAACTGTCATTGCAGCTGTGGTCCTCTATGCACCAGTCAAGGGCAGAGGCTCTAGGCTCTGGAAAGAGAGACAACATAAATCTAGGGAAAAGCTTCTGAAGGACGAAGTTATTTCCCAAACTAACATTACCGAGAGGGTACTTAGGGCATACTGGTACTCGAGTTTGCTCCTGCCCACCCATCTTTTACAAAAGCTCTAGTAATTTAACCTGAAACTGCAGACCGGCTTCCTCTTCCTTTTCCCTGTTTCCCTACACTATGCAAACAGTACCTCTCTTAGCCGGCCCTCCATGCCATCACCCAAAAGTTCACATATCGGCTAACCCTAAGGCATCTGCCAAATAACTCTCACTGTAGCGTTCATCCTCTGCTCTCCCAGATTCAAAACCCACCCTGCACAGCAATCCTCAGGCACTACCAGTCGTTGGTGGCTAGAATACGAGTAGGGATCACCAGGAGGAAGGGATTCCTCCCTCCAAATGGACCACTGAACTTTCTCTCCCCCGCCCCCAACCCCAGCACCACCAGATGAACGCCATTTACCATCTCCCAAAGAGCAAAAATGTGTAATATTTAAAATACTTCAAGTGCGCCCTGTTTCCTCATGCCAGCCGTCCCAAATCCCACACACTCTTTCTCAAAAATGTAGATATTCAGGTTAACCTTCAATTTTGTTCGAAAGTGGCTGAACTGAATTGTCTGAACAATTTAGTTTTCCACTCCTTGGATATAACTAAAATGCAGTTGGACTGAGAAGAGCTTGCAGATGTCCAAACTCATTCCGACTCCAAAGGGCGAATTCTCTTTTCGCCATTTCTTCCAGCCCTGGAACAGCTTGGGGTCCCTCCCGAAGAGCTCAGCCCAGAAATACATACATCCACCGCCCCTGCCACCCGAACGCGCTGGCAGCCCCGGGCCTCCCACAGGAGCGGAGACGCGGGTCCCCGCGCCTCCCGCCGGAACCGACCCGTCAGAGCCGCCGAGACCGCACCTGGAAGCTGGGAGGCCGCGAGGAGGGAGAATCCAGGCGGAGACCCAGCCCAGTGCCCGCACAGCTCTATGCCCTCCCGCCAGTGCCCGCACTCGGGTCACACGGCTTGCTCTCGAGAGAAGCCCCAAGGCTCGCGGTGCACTGAGAGGCGCCCGGGCTGGAGCGCCCCGGCCGTGTTGGCCACGGAGTTCTTCAGCTGCTTGATGACCACGAAGAGCAGGAGGAAAAGTAAGAAGAGCAGGAAGAAGAAGAGCGCCAGGTAGAGCAGCAAGTTGAGTTCCCACTCCATGCTGGAGACGCCGGCGCTCGCTGGCAGTGCGCGCTCCGCGCGGGCTGCAGCTGGAGGACGAGCGCGCCACCCGCACACCCACCTCCCCGCACTCCCGCCCCGAGCGAGGGCGCCCCGCTTTGGGCGCCGACTTCGGGGTCCGTGTTCGGCCTCCCCCGCCTCCGAGGAAACGCGCCAAGGAGCTGAGGAAATCCGGCGCCGACTCTCCCAGCTGGCACCAGAGCCTTCCGCTTCGCCGAGATCCTCTCCAGTGCTCCTGAGGACGCGAGCGGCTTCCCTAAGAGCGAACTTCCGCGGGCAGGGACGCCGGGAGAAGAGGTAACAACAGCTCAGTCTCCCAGAGGAGATCGGAATTGGTGTTTTGTATATTATTTAAAAGTTCCACCACCAACACCCAGTAGGGTCCCTAGCCCGGTCCCTTCCCAAATAATTTATTTCGTTGTATCTCTCCGTTCCCGCTTTCCGAAACGGCAGGGCATGCAGCGGCCCAGAGACTCAAAAGATTGAAAGGTGACAGTGAAGATAGGGTCTGAAAGGCTATGAGATGATCTCGTGCCATGAGATGCCTGAGTGAATTCCACTTCGAGCTGTCTTGCTCTTCAGAATAGCAGAAGCATTCAGTGTTGAGTGTACTTTTCTATGGACAACAGGTCATTTGGAAACGCATTAAGAATAAAATGTATTTCAGAAGTTATATAGTACAAAGCTTTCAAATATTGGCCTCAAATTCAATTTCGTTGGTGAAAAGAGGAAAACAAATTTACTCAAAGTGTTTCTTGAGTCCCTCATGCCTTTCTCTCTCTGGTTGACGTGACCCAAAACCCATATCGTGCAGCTTTGAAAGCAATTCAGTGTATCTATTACTGCTTAACAAATTACCCCCAAATTTAGTGGCTTCAGACATAAACATTGATCATCTCTCACAGTTTCTGTGGGTCTGAAATGTGGGAGCACTGGCTGGGTAATTCATATGAGGCTCCGTTCAGGTGTCAGCCAGGTCTGCCCTCAGCTGAAGGCTTGTTCGGAGGTAGAAAATCCACTTCCAGAGTGGCTCACTCACTGGCTGCCAGGTGGGGCTGGTTGTTGGTGGGAGCCCTCAGTTCCCTTCCATGGGCGTTTCCAACACAGCTGCCAGCTTCCCCCAGAACAAGTGATAAAGGAAAACAAAGCAGAGGCTGCAGTGCTCTTTACCACTAGCTTCAGAAGTCACGTGCCATCACTTCTGCATTATCCTACTGGTCACACAGGTCAGCCCTATTCAGTGTAGTAGTCCAAGGACATGAACGCCCAGGAGTAAGGATCACTGGGGCCCATCTTGGAGTTGGCTATGACAGCTGCTAATACAGCCAGTTACCATTGCCCATTTGTGGGCCCAACTTAATTTTATTCTTTATTTATAAAGACATAGAACTGCCTCCTGGACTGAATTCTGGGGAGGAGGACTTACAGCACCCCAGATTATGATAAGTGGCTACTCCAGGGATGACAGGGGTTCAAAGAGACAGGGTGGTATGAAAACAGTCTGTGAACTGGAAGTCTCATGGACCTGATTCTAGTGTCAGCTCCACCTGTCAGGGGTCACTTTTGCTCCATGATTCTCAGTCCCCTCATCTGTAACATGCTTTGCTTCTCTTTCCCTTGAATTTGTTATGAGGCTCAAAAATGAGTAAATGTTAAATACAAACGTGTTTTGCTATATAAATGTCAGATACTGTTGTTACTTTATTACCAAGGGTCCCCAGTGTTACAAGCTACTGTACGAAATTTCAAGAGCCTGGGCCTCTCCATCCAAACATCTTCCTGCATAAGCATAAATAATCTTTCTTTCATTTTCTCTTTGTCTCTCTCTCTCTCAATAACACTATATTGATCCACTTCGTAGGCAATGGTATGCTGGAGCCGGCTCATAATGACTCAAAGGAGCTGATTGTTAAATTTGGTAAAACATTTGTTAAATTCCAGCTATTATTAAAAATTAAATTATAGAAACTACATTTCCGTTAACAACAAAGGTAATTAATACCTTTTAAATTGCCATTAAAAGCAAAAACCATGATTGCGTTTGCACCAACCTCAGTACTACATTTCACTATTGTCTGTGCACTTGAGGTTATTTACATCCGTTGTAGCTGTGTGGTAAAGATGCTGCAGAGTGGCATGTTACTGCGTATCTCTTCCCAGCTGTGTTAAGTGCTGTCATGTTGGTAGCTTGAAATTAGCCATGATGAGTGGGTTCTCCCTGAGAAAATGGACAAATGCTACAAATCAGGACCAGGAAGAAGTTGTTAGATTAACCAGCACAACACTGCTCATGGGGCTATTGAGAGAAATTTGAAATCTTATACAAATTTAGCAAAGATTTGTGATTTTTTTTTGACTGCCCAGAATCCACACACCTCCACTCTAAGCACCACATGTTCCTACGGATGAAATTCTCCATTTTATGTAATCTTGGCAAGAAGACAGATCCCAGTGCCTACTTTCCCTTGCCACCTCCTGTTATGGAAACCAAGGGGATCAGATATATCTTTTACCCACTCCTGATACAGTGTAGGGAGGAGGGCAGGAAGAGCTATGCCTGAAACTTAGCCAAATATCTTTGCCTCCAGGACTCTGAATCTTGGGAGCTGTCAGAGCAGGAGGAATGTTTGGAAGTCAGATGCATCCCAGTTGTACGGGCACTCTGAGCGCCAGAACAGTCCCAAGAGTGACCTAGGCGTGCCTTCTTCTGCCTGCTGCCACAACATCCTCAACTCCCAGCCCAGACTGGGCACTCCTGCTTTCTTTCCACTCTGTAGCCTTCCACTGGCTTTCCAGGAAATCTTATTGCTGCGAGGCAGAATGGTTAGCGCCAGTTTGCAAGGGAGAATGCTGAAATCTTATTGCTGCGAGGCAGAGTGGTTAGCGCCAGTTTGCAAAGGAGAATGCTGACTAATTAAGAAAGCATCGCTTAAGTATTTTGCACATGTTAAGTACTCTTAATTAACGAGTTGTTTGGTATGAAAGGCATATGATTTGGCACATTGCCATCCAGATATCCAAGCTATCAAAGGATGAAAATTGAAGCAAGGAGAGGTTAAGTGACCTGCTGAAGACCACACAGCTGGCATTGGCAAGTGGCAGGAGAGGGATGTAAACCCAGGAAGTTTGACTCCAGAGCCTGCACTCCCAACCCTCATGATTGTACTGCCTCACAGGGAAAAGTATTCTTACTTTTTTTTTTTTTTGAGGCAGAGTCTCACTCTGTCTCCCAGGCTGGAGGGCAGTGGTGCGATCGCAGCTCACTGCAGCCTCGACTTCTTGGGTTCAGGCAATTCTCCCACCTCAGGGATTACAGGTGCATATCACCATACCTGGCTAGTTTTTGTATTTTTAATATAGATGAGGTTTCACCTTGTTGGCCAGGCTGGTCTCGAACTCCTGATCTCAGGTGATCCACCCACCTCAGCCTCCCAAAGTGCAGGGATTACAGGTGTGAGCCACTGCACCCTGCTGGGGAAAATATACTTTTATGTGCATGACCATCAAATTAATCACCACATTTTTTTCTTTTGAGCGTCAGACTAAAAAGAAACACATTTCAAGAGACATATGCCTTCTGTATCTCAGCGCCCACTTTTGAAATCTTGAAGGTCAGAGCTTCAAATGAGCCTGTGTTTGTCTGCAGAATGCTGGGGGAAAAGGCTAAGGGATGAAGGTTTTATGTTGCGGAGCTCAAACCCATGTCAGCCTTTCTAACCATAACTATTTAGATTATCCATTTATCTGAGCAGCTTAAATGGATTTATAAATATTAATTAATAAATTATTATATTCACTCTCTGTATAATTTGTACGTAAAATAATATTGCTGCCATGAAAAATAATATATTACATTTAGTAGATGCTCCCAATGCTTTTCAGCCTCTGGTCATGTTTATGTACCTCACAAGGCTCTGGACTTCAGTTGATATTGTATAAATGACTCCATATGACTAAACCAGAATCTTTCTCTTCCTAAAGATGCACATCAGTGGAAATTCATAGAAAGAAAACCCAAGCATTTTAAAATGCAGAAAGGATACTCATTATAAATAAGAGCATAGCTGCTTCCAGCAACTAAAAGATGCACAAATGGGTAGGTGGAGGGAGCTTTGTCACTACAATCACATACCACTGCCCACAGTGTGGACCCCACATACGCTCCCACGTACAGCATGCCTCATCCCCCACTCAGAGTTAGACTTCATGCATGTTTCATCTTCCTAGTCTTCTTTCCGTGGTTCTCAAAACAACTACATATTGCCCCGGGGCTGCCCAAGGTCTTGGCCTATATGGCATGTGGCAAGATGAGGGTTCACCTTGCCGTTTCCTGCCTTGTTCCTCTTCACTCTTGCCACTTACAGGAGGCAGGTCTTTGATCATAAGCATCAGAGGTATTTATGAGAAACGATTAATACCAAGAATAGAAGGGTTAATGTGTCTTGTAAATGTGTTTCTCTAAATTGTCTAAACTCCTAAGAAGACACCCAGAAAGGGCTGTAAAAATCTACCGATACAATCCTACCTGCACTTGCCTGTTGTGGGCGCCTGGAGGATGGAAGCAGCTTTCCCAGAAGGGCAGGAGAAGAGTAGGAGACAAGAGAAAAAGATTTCCAGACACCTTTCTAAGGTTGACTCAACTTGACCTGACATGAACCTCTCCAGAAAACAAAGAAATGTTTTGTAACATGCTCTGGACTTGAAATGTGTTGTTAACCTGACCGGTACAACTTCTTAACACCTTCCCAGGTGCTTCAATCCATAAAAATTGAGTGATCCATAGATGATTTTTGCTTAGATGGGATCTCCTTAAAGCATGTGCTGGAGATGAGGTCCATACTCCAGGGAAACTTCCAGGCCCTAGGACACTGTACTGGCTAGTTAGGACCTGAATCAGCCCCAGTGATCTTGGTGACTCCAATGGCCCAGAAATATCCAGCCATACTATTCATGCCTCTGTGGCACTCCACCTCCCTTTCTTCTGCCCCATACACAAAAATGCCATCATGTTCATTTCTGTGAAGGAGATAGATACAAACTGGGCCTCCTTGTTTACACCCCTTATCACCCCTACAACCCTTTAGATCAAAATTAGAAAGGCTAAGAGAATATTTACTTCTGTAGGAGAACAGAAAAGTGAATTGTTGTACCTGAGGGAGTGGTGTGAAGTTAATCAGCCTTTACCATAGCACCCCATGATAGGATTTACTCTTTACACCTTCACCTCTTCCCAGATCCTATCCTCAAATGAATGACTTCAGTAGTTGTACACTTCATATAAAATGAGATGCTCTTCAGGAAATTAGTAAAATTTATATGATAAGTTATTTAAATTTCATGTAGCCATTTAGGAATTCCAGTGAGAAGGAAGTAAGGAAGAGTGGGAGGAAGGGAGGCAGGGAGGAAAGACAAAGAAAAGAAATCTAATGAAGAAATTTATTTGAGGGGTATGTGGGAAATTGTCCTATGTGAGTATCCCTTGAAATCCAGAATTCACCACTAAGAATAGTTCTATGAAAAATACTCTGGATTCTGTCCTTGATTTAGAATGTCTTTAAACACAACAGGAGATATACTGTCTATTCAATATTGGAAAAGAAAAATATTAAGTGACAGATTGTAATTGCAGCCAAATGCTCTGTCTTCAATTTGAATTCTGCAGTAAATTATCAGGAACATTGAAAAAAGTCGATGTGACTGTGGCCGACCCTGGACTTGATCAATACTGTGTCATGTAGCAAAATAAAGACTCTGAGCATTATCGAGCAATGTATCTTTTGTTCAGCACAACTTTAATGGCAATGAAGAAACTGTTGCTGATGATGACAGGTCTGCAAGCTCCTGCATGAGTTGATGATGACCAGGAGCAATGAGCTTGCACACACACACACACACAACACAAAAATTGGACAGTCCTGAGGGGGAAAAGAATCAATAAAAGTAGATTTTGTCCATAACTCCTACATCCTTAGTGAAACACCAGCTTGTGAGATTTAACCACCTCAACACCTGGGGCTTGCACTCCCAGACCTGGTGACCCAAGCTGCCTTCCAGACATGTGCAGGTAGACACTGTTTCACAGACTGGCAGCAAACACACTTGGGTCTCAGTCCCAGCCTTAGATACTCTACCTTGTACTACACCGTATATTGTTGTGCTGCAAGTGGCAACAAGATATTTTGAAACCTCTGGACTTGGACGTGTATTCTGACTTTATCTCTTGCTCTCTGAGTGACAATGGATATCTTTGGTTGCCTATCAAGTGCCTCATCTCTCTTTCTTCTTTATTAATGGAATCCTGATTTTATTTAGGTACTACCTCTTCCCCATGCATCCCATGTGACTTAAAGGAAACTGTCCCAGGGAAGTGGGTCCAGAATGGTCTAAAATTCATTCAGAGAATATGAAAACTATTTTTGTCCAGAAGGGACACATCATGTAAATTGATCTAATCTAATTGAAGTATTTCAGTCAGTGTCCAACAAAGAAAACAAAACCAATATAAGTATCTAAAGTAGGGGAATTTAATACTGGTTAAACTAGCAAAATTAGTTACAAGGCTGTTGAATGGTAAGAGGAGTAAAAAGGAGATAGTAAGTTTACCAGAAGATTGTAGCTCTCCTGGACTAGAGGAGCAAAGAGGAAAATGGGATTACACAGAGTCCGTGATTACTGCCTCAGGAAAACCCCTGCAGTGTCCATGGCTGCCACTGCCAGTGGAGATGTCAAATCTCCCAGCTAGATCCAAAGGCTGGGCACACCAGCTACCTCCAGAGACACCACCAGAAGCCAGGAAACAAAGAAATCTTCTCCCTTCCTCTCATCTTCCAACCTCCTGGCAGTGCCTCCCATTATGACATTATCTAATAGGAAGCTAGGTAGCAAGGGAGTCTAGGCTCTCAGCAAGATGGTCGAGAAGAGAGAAGGGCAAGAACGAAGCTGAAATACACAGGCACTATCCAGCACAGGAAGTACACATGATCCATACACTGGGGAGAGGGTTCTCTCTCATGCATGTCAAAGATAAATAAATAAGAATGGCAGCCCAGTTTCTGGTGACAGCCACCTTATGTCCGTGGGGAGAACCAGCCACAGGATGCAGCTGACTTGAGAAATGGCACAGCAGAGAGAACCTGCTTTCCCGATGGCACTAATGGGCCAGTAAATCCATCATCTTGAAGACTTGCCTCCTTCTGGGCATTCTATTTTGTACAAAAACACATTTCATTGTTGTTTAAGCTGGCTTAAGTTTATTACAAACTGCTAGAGGTACCCTAAGATACATTCAAAAAACCTCAGTTTCCTTATCTGTCAAATGGAGCTAATAGCATAATAATGACATTTGGTTGCATAACAGTGTTGTAACTGTTAAATGGAATAATGCATGTAAAGCACCTGGCATTTAGTGGTCACCTGACAAATGGTGGTTTATATTATTTTTATTATTACTATCATTGTTAATGGAGTTAACAATATTTCTAACTGTGTTGCCATGTAAATATAGCTTAATAATAAATGTGGTCAGCCACAGACTGCCAGCCCTCCATCCCTGCCACATACAGCTTGCCATGCTGAGGCCTACACACCACCATCCACCACACAGCCTCCACCTCCCTTTTTGGTCTTCCTTGTAAGAACACCAGAGCCACCACCAGGACCTGAAGACTGGATCAGTCTGGAGCTTTTCACCTCCCATGGCTCTACTTTCCATACCTCACTATGGAAGCAGTAGGATGATGTGGAATGAAACCATGCTGAGAAACTGGCAAAACAGTAGAACCAGTAAGGTGGCCTAATCTTCATATCATCAGGAAACCAGACCATGAGAATTAGGAGAGTAAGCTGAGTACAGAGGAATACGTTTACATGTTTTAAAAAGTGTTGAGTCTTTACTGAAATTATCTAAATAGGCCACTGAAATTACCCAGATTACAAAACAACCCTGGGTTGTGTGACTTTCTTGAGAATCATGACCTGAATAAACAGGTGTAAGCAGCTTGCACGAAGTGGCTGCCATAGACTCTGGCATGTGGAGCATCTCTTTGACAAGGCTTGAGTTGCCATCCTAGGCTTGGGGCTGGCAACGCATGTCCATGGGGTTGACTTTCCATGGTCACCAGTATACTACACACATCTTTGGGTCATCTGCACTCTTCCTATAGACTGTGCCAAACCATCTACCTGTTTTTCCCTTCAATATTTGTATCGTTCTTTTCAATAAAGTAAGTTGCTAGCAGAAAAATAAGGATGGAATGAAACCCTAGCCCCAAACTCTTTGAGGGGATGGATTTGAAGCTTCCTCTTGTCTCCACCTTGGACCAGCCCAATGATTAAACATCATTTAACCAAGAGGGGTGGCTCATGCCTATAATCCCAGCACATAGGGAGGCTGAGGCAGGTGGATACCTTGAGATCAGGAGTTCAAGCCCAGCCTGGCCAACATGGAGAAACTTTGACTCTACTAAAAATATAAAAAATTAGCCAGGCGTGGTGGTGCATGCCTGTAATCCCAGTTACTTGGAGGCTGAGGCACGAGAATCGCTTGAACCCGGGAGGCAGAGGCTGCAGTAAACTGAGATCACATCACTGCACTCGAGCCTGGGTGACAGAGCAAGACTTCATTTGCAAAAAAAGAAGCACGAAGGAAGGAAGTTAGTTCCCAAATGATTCTGATAATCAACCAATGTGGGAATCACTATTCTAGTTCAGTTTCTTTATACTGCAGATAAAGACCTTGAAACTTAATGAGAATAAGTGACTTACCCAAAGTCAGACACAGAGGAAGTACAAAAGTGAAAACTGCAAGTTGGGTTGACTGTCGGGTAGTTATGGTCTTTCCACCAGACTATATTGAGAATTCCTTTCTTCTCTCTCTTTTTTTCTTTTTTGAGATGGAGTCTTCCTGTGTTGCCCAGGCTGAAATGGAGTACAGTGGTGCGATCTTGGCTCACTTCAACCTCTGCCTCCTGGGTTCAAGCAATTATCATGCCTCAACCTCCCTAGTAGCTGAGATTACAGGCATGCACCACCATGCCCAGCTAACTTTTGTCTTTTCTTTCGCTTTTGCTTTTTTTTTTAAAAAGACTCAGTCTCGCTCTTGTCCACCAGGCTGGAGTGCAATGGTGCGATGTTGGCTCACTGCAACCTCCACCTCCCAGGTTCAAGCGATTCTCCTGCCTTAGCCTGCCAAGAAGCTGGGATTACAGGTGCCTGCCACCATGCTTGGCTAATTTTTAGTAGAGACGGGGTATCACCATGTTGGCCAGGCTGGTCTCAAACTTCTGACCTCAGGTAATCCACCTGCCTTGGCCTCCCAAAGTGCTGTGCTGGGATTACAGGCATGAGCCTCCGTGCCAGGCCCTTTCCTTTCTTTTTAACTATGCAGCAGTTTTCTTAGAGTTAGAGTTGTTTTCAAAATGGTAATTTTGTCTCTGGATTAAAATTAATTAAAACCCACACTGAACTTCTTTAAATTTATCAATTCACAATATAATAGACTACAATGTTTTATCTAAGAGAGCTCAAAGAAAAAATTCTTCAAAAAAAAACAATTATAATTTTTCAATAAAAAATAATATTAATTTTTTTAATTTAATGTAAATAATGTGTCTTACCACAGTACCTGGAAGTTCTGCAAATGTATCACTGACTTGAAAGGTTTTGAATATGAAGCTAACCTTCTCCCGTCTGTGTTAGATCCTCTCCCTGTGCCTTTCTGGTCCACCCTCCACCATGCTGTGTGTCCCATTAGCTCATATTAATCACCTCTTGCCCTATACCTTCTGTTAGGCTTTCTCCAAGGGAGGCACCATTGGAGGATGGACACAGAGAGAGGTTGTGGTATTTATTCCCTGGCCCCTCCCTGCTAGGCTGGAGGTTAATTATAGCTGACTCCATCCACTAGAATCCTCAGTATCCAGTAGCTGCTGATCTCATCAGGTTTCAGGACCCACCTTCTCCCTTTGCCTCTTTGAGATTATGGATGGTAACAGTTTCCCACTGTTGCTGTCATCCCTTCATTACTAACTGCTGTGGACTAATTATTTCTATAGTCTGAATGTGTCTCCTCCAAAATTCAAATATTGACAATGTGAGATTATTAAGGGGTGAGGGCTTTAAGAAGTGATTAGGTCATGAAGGCTCTTCCCCCCTGAATGGAATTAAGGCTCTTACAAAAGAGGCTTCTTGCAGCATTCATTTGGGTAGCTTGCCCTTCCACCATCCTGTGAGGGCACTGCGTGCCTCCCCACAGTAGGATGTAGCCCTCACCAGACAAGCAAACCTGCAGCACCTTGATCCTGGACTTCCCAAGTGAGAAATAAACTTATCTTCTTTATAAATTATCCAGTCTCAGATATGTTGTTCTAGCAGCACAAAACAAACTAAGATAATATTTGTGTTCCCCTGCCCCAATTCCTATGTTAAATCCTAATCCTGGATGCATAGGAGGTGGAACCTTTGATAGGTGATTAGGTCATGAGGGCAGCACCCTGGTGAATGGGATGAGTGCTCTTAAAAAGAGACCAGAGAGAGCTCCCTCACTCCTCCTGACATGTGAGGACACAGTGAGAAGACCGCCATCTTGGAACCAGGAAGTGGGCTCTCACCAGACATGTAGTCTGAGGGCACCTTGACCTTGTACTCACCAGCTTCTAGGACTGTGAGAAGAAAGTTCTTGTTTAAGCCACCCAGTCTATGCAACTTTTGGTACAGCAGCCCAAACAGAGTAAGACACCATCTCTTCGATCATCCCTTTAGAGGATGCCTGTCTCTTGGCAGGCCCCTGAGTGATACTCCATCCAGGTATTTCTCTTCTGCCTCTGCATCCCTTGAGGGATGGCATTCTAGATGGCTCCACTGTGGATTAGCTGTGTGTCTTCAGGAAAATTGTTTAACTTTTCTGACACTAAAGTTCATCAATGGTAAAAATAAAACATTGCCAGATTGTTTTAAGAATCAAATGAGATACTTATGTGAAAGCATTTTATAATGATAATCGACTACATTAGAGGTAAAACAAATGATTGATGTTTGTTTTAATTTTATTAATTTTTACATATAGAAGTACATTGTTGAAACTTTCTCTATTTCAAAAAAATTCAATATGTCAGGGGACTGAAAGAGAAGCTATTTTATGTACAAATGCCTGTGCAGTAAACTGACGAACTACTATTGACTCCATCCCTACTGTCTGGTAAAACAATCTCACAGCTTTTTCTGTGGAATTTGCGAATCTGCTTGTGTGATGACCTTGATAGAGGGAGTGTTTACATCATCCAGGTACTCTCCTGAAATATTTGGAAACATTATAATCCTTTTGATTTGCATCTAGATAAATGTTTGTTGTAGATAGCATTTTTTTCTTTTCTTTTTCTTTCTGAATATGATAAAATATACTTAACATAAAATTTACCTTCCTCCTTCCTTTTAAGTCTATAGACAGTGGTATTACATATAATCTCATTCTCATGCAACTATCACCACCATCCATATCCAGAATTTTTTCATCTTGCAAAACTGACTCAATACCCATTAAACAACTGCCCATTTCCTCCTTCCTCCAGCCCCTGGCAACAGCCATTCTACTTTCTGTCTATGAATTTTACTACTTTAGGTACCTCATATAAGTGGAATTAGTCATTTTCTTTTCTGTGACTGGCTTATTTCACTTAGCATAATGTCCTCAAGGTTCATTCATGTTGTAGCATATGTCTGAATCTCTTTCCTTTTTAAGACTGAATAATTTTCTGTGATGGTTAATTTTATGTGTCAATTGGACTAGGCCATGGGGTGCCCAGACATTTAGTCAAACATTATTCCAGGTGTGTTGGTGATAGTGTTTCAGGAAGACATTCACATTCTCCTATTGGTTCTGTTTCTCTGGAGAACCCTGACTAAAACATATTCCATTATATGCATATATCACTCCTGTAGTTGTATTTTATTTTGATTAAAACTGTAGTTTCACCATATGTTCTAAAACATTAATCTGTTTTAGTCATAAGTTATAGGAAAGCATACGCATATCCTCCTGGACTATTTCCTGTAGAGTTTAAGTATGCTTGACATAAAAAGCCACAATGCTGTTTTGCATATATGAATAATATTTCTACTTGGTTTTCTATATTTAGAGAGGCCAGTTCTGCAGTGGCTAAAGTATAGGCTTGGTACGATTGCCTTTGTAATATGTCATATTAGAAGGCCCATTGTCAGGAATACCAATTGTAATTTACAGCAGAGATGCTTGGTAAGAGATTCTAAGGCCTCTAGTTGAAAATATGTCTGGAAATTTATTTTGTTTTCCCGTAATAACCCAGCTATCAAATGACTGCCTACCCAAGCCTCCCTCTGGCTTTTGTGTCAGCCATCTGGAAGCCACTGTGAATCTATCCAAGAAACCTTCTAACCCTCCCCTCTGAAATTATTCCCGACTAGAAACTGCTGACTTGGTGAGAGAGATCTTTTTAATCACTTTATACTTATAAGCTTTGTTGTAGCTTAGTGGCTCTGAACACCTTAACACCAAGATGATCAGCATCATAGAGATGGCCAAGTTGAAGATATTTTCTTTTCAAGAATTCAAAAGCTATGTTTATAAATTCAGCAATAGGCAATTGTCTTATCTTTTATATATATATAACCTGTGAATTATTATAAAAAGAATATGTTCTGGGTGTTTGTGAAACTCACATTATTTGAACACTAATACTGTCTTGAGGCCTTCCTCTGCTCCATCACAGGTAGTGTTGGTTGAACTAAGTGATGCTATTATAGTCATTACTCAGCAGTGAAAAAGAGGCCTTGTGACATCTGAAGAAAATACATATTCCTTGTCTCTGATACACATCTGGCTCTTGTGTGTGGCCCCTCATAATCATGACCTCTTCAGGTTCTGTATGGCTGAGCTGGTGGGCTATGATTTTCACTATACATCACCAAGAATTACGTTTCTCCACCCACCCCAGCTGTGGTTGAACCGTTTCTCACCTACAAGAAGAAATGAACACACAACTCATTATAAAAGCTCAGCACCTGCTACTTACATATTTTTCACATTTAATGTTTTCATCTATCTGTGGATCTTTTCAGAGGAAAAAGTATTTTGCAAGAGGAAAACAGCTATATATCAGTTTCATCGTTTTGCTGATACCTCACTTATATTTACTGGTATGACTTTTCCCCCTTCTCCAAATTTCTTCAGATTGTCTGGTTTGTGGAAAGAGTATTAGTTGAAACCTTCAGAGGCCTGGATTCTCACCATCCCCTGCCAGCATAAGCCATACAACATCGCACATCTCTTTAACTTCTCCCTGCTTCTGTTCTTCAAATTGGGGGATTAAACATAATTATCTCCATATCCCTTCTAGTTCCAAAATTCAAGTGGCTTATCATTTTTACTGCCAAAACCAGGGATGGTGGAAGAGAGAGATTATCGGAGTGAGTTGCTGCCAGCTGCCAGGATGACAGAGTAGGTGGGGAACCCAGAGCGCCTTCTTTCGGGGAGTCATTGGCTCCAGGAAGGGCCTCTGACACATTTGCAGAAGAGGTTCCTTCACCACCACGGCTCACTGCTCCTTCCAGCCATGACATTATTCCTTTTATTAATACATTAAGTAAGTCGGGGATTCACGTGTCACCTACATATCGGCCACCTTTTCACTATATGCAAACCACAAAGCAGGACTCAGCACAACATGTTGTTTTCCTCCAGCAGAAAAATCACTGCACAAAGCTCGACTGAACAATGTAGAGAGCACCTGGAGTTGCCTCCTTTTAATAACCTTTATTTCCCAGCGAATTGCCACTTCTCCCTCCTTTCCTTTCTTTGTTATGCAGGAAACCTGGCTGCCAACCTGAGCTAACTTCCACCTGTAGGTTTATCAAATTGCCTTCTAAATAAAATTGTCTCTGCTCCTGAGGAATTCTCCTACTAGCTGAGAAGAAGAT